GGGAGAGCATAGCATGCATAGGGATTGGCATTATGTGCAGTTTCAGGAAACACTGGGGTTGCAAAATATCCCCTGGGGTGATAATCGCAAGATCTTGTGATAACTACAGGATAAACCATTGGGTTCTGGGTGAGGACCCAGTGAGGATGGTGGACCAGAAAGAAGAGGCCTTGAACCAGACCAGAGACTCATTGCAGTAGACATTTGAGAAAAACTGATAGGAAAGGAAGCATTTTATATGGCACACTGAAGTCTCCATCACCACCAGGACTAACCAAGAGCTGTTAGGTATGGCACACCGAAGCCACCAGGACTAACCAAGAGCTGTTAGGGAAGCAGGAAGGAAGGAAAAACAATGAGATTTTGTTGTTGTTGTGTGTTTTGTATTTTGTTTTTGTTTGCTTGTGCTTTGATTCATTTCCTTATGGGGGGTGTGGCAGGAATGAGGGGAGGATGGGGACCAGGAGGCGAACTGAATTGGGGTCCAGGGTTGCACTGCAGTAATAACACATTTTGATCAATCGTGCAGGAGGAAAGATTGAATGAGCTTTCTGTTTTCTCCATAGGCAACAATGTAAAATTGTGGTTGTTAAAAAGTCATTAAAGATGGGGCCTAGAAAGATGACTCGGAGGTTAAGAGCTCTTCTTGCTCTTCTAAAGGACCTGAGTTTGGTTCCCAGCATCCACACTGCAACTCACTTCTGCCTGCAACTTCCAGCTTCAGGGAATCCAGTGCCCTCTTCTGCCTTCCATGGGTATCTGCACACACTCACACGGACACACACACAAATAATAATAAATATTAAAAAAGAATTGAAAAATGCATACCTTAGCCAGTACAGTGGGGTGCAATTGTCCCAGGTGCTTGAAAGGCTAAGTCAGTAGGCTCACTTACTTGAGCCTGGGAGTCGGAGCCTAGCCTGAGTGATGTAGCCAGATCCTGTTTTAAACAAAGATTGCGTGAATTTTTGGTATATATTAATTTTCAGGTTTTGGGATTTGGATGTAATTTTACCCCCATTATAGGTAAACGTTCACATTTATATCTGTTTTTATATTTGTGTTTATATTCTTTTCTTTTTCTTATTTCCCCAAGATGGTTTCTCTGTGTAGTCCCGGCTGTCCTAGAACTTGCCATGTAGACTAGGCTGGCCTCGAACTCAGAGATCCTCCTACCTCTTCTTCCTGAGAACTGGGGCTACAGGTGGTGTGTTTCCCCACTGCCCAGCTATATTCCTTTTCTTCAGGGTTTATTGAAATTCTGTGAATTCTGATCTCAGAAAATCTAGATCTCTCCTTGCATAGTTGCCATCTCCTGGCAATTCTGGCTAGGACAGGGCAGGCGTCAGTCTCCTCCTTTCTTAAAAAAAATTATTTATTTATTATGTATACAATATTCTGTCTCTGTGTGTCTGCAGGCCAGAAGAGGGCACCAAACCTCATTACAGATGGTTGTGAGCCACTATGTGGTTGCTGGGAATTGAACTCATGACCTTTGGAAGAGCAGGCAATGCTCTTAACCACTGAGCCATCTCTCCAGCCCCCTCCTCCTTCTTGAGATGATGGACACCCAGAGAAGTTACATAGTTTGCTTGTGGTTTTGCCTGTGGCTGGATAAACCTCAGCTAGAAGCCAGTCTTTTCAGTTCTCAGGTCAAGCATTTAGTAGCAACAGTGGCAAGCACCTTATTCTAGAACTTCCCGCTGTCTGCTTGTCCGCTTGTCCGATGTTGGGTTCTAGGTTGTAGGGTTCCAAAGAGAGGCAGGGTAAGGCTACAATGGAACAAGCAGCGTTTCTGTCACTTGTGGCCTCCCTTTGTCCTCCTGCCTCCTCTACCGAAGAAAGGCATCTGGTGGGAGCTGAGAACGAGTCAGAGCAGTTCTTGAACAGACTATGAATGGACCGGTGAGCAGAGCCGGCTGTGCGTGAATATTCATAGGAACATGTCTTTGTTACTTTTTAAGCCAAATATATTTTGGGGCTGTTTCCCTGGAGACACAGGGCGGAAGGAGAGGCCTTGCTGAGAGTAGTGTAGTTTGTGGGTGACACTTGCCTCCCACCCTCCTCCAGTCAGTCTCACGCTCCACCTGGACTGATTTTACCGAGGTCACTAACTTTCCTTTGTGGCAGAGTTCAACTTTTTAGGCCCCATTCTTTGCCTCTTTCTCCGGCTGTCAGTGTTCTTTTCAAATGCAAATCTGATCTACCTTCCCTGAAAGCCCTTCTGCGGCTCCAAGCTGTTTTCTCTGGAGACTCGAACAATTGGGTGCGGACTCCCGGAGTCATCCCAGTCCACGAGCTGGCTGCGCTTTCTTTTCTCCGCTGTACGCTGAACCAGGCTCTTTCCTGACGCGGGGCTTTTGCACGCATTCCTTCAATTGCTATTTTGTTTGTACTCACCACTATTTGCCAGACCTTGTTTTGGTGTTGGAGTTACAACCGCAGACTGTTATAGAGCAGTCAGGACTATAAGATTTGGGGTGAGGACATTTGCCACCAAGCCTGATAACTGTTGACAGGTCCCCAGGACCCACGTGGTGGAAGGAGGGAACTGAAGGGAACTGACATACTCTCTCTCTCTCTCTCTCTCTCTCTCTCTCTCTCTCTCTCTCTCTCTCCCTCTGTCTCTGTCTCTGTCTCTGTCTCTGTCTCTCTCTGTCTCTGTCTCTCTCTCTCTCTCACACGAATAAATACATGTGAAGTAAGAAAGAAAAAATAGGCAGAATTCAAAACCCTTATCATTTTGGTACTTTTTTTTGGTTTTTCGAGATAGGGTTTTTCTGTATATCTCTGACTGTCCTGGAACTCACTCTGTAGACCAGGCTGGCCTCAAACTCACACAGATCTGTCTGCTTCTCTTCTGCCTCCCGAGTGCTGGGATTAAAGGTGTGCACCACCATCATACAGCTTTTTTTTTTTTAAGTTTGGAATTTACTGATATTTAAATAACAACTTTATTGACATATTATTCCCATACTATAAAACTTATTTAAAGTATACATGCAGTTCAATTTAGAACATTCAATTTTGCAGCTAAATTTTGAGAATGTTGTTTCCACTAGAAACTTTGTACTCATTAATAGTGTTCTATTATGGGATTGATTGATATGGGAAGGCCTAGTCATTGTGGATGGTGTCACCCCTAGGCAGGTGATTCTGGGGAACATAGAAAAGCAAACAAAGCAAGTCATGGGGAGCAAGTCAGTAAGCAGAACTCCTCCAGGGTCTCTGCTTCAGTTCCTGCCTTAACTTCCCTTCCTGACGCCCTGGAATCCAGACTTGTAAACCAAACAAACTCTTTCCTTCCCGAGTTACTTCTGGTGATGGCACTTTATCACAGCAATAGAAAGCAAACCAGGACATTTGCTAGAAGCTTATCAGTTTGTTGACATTTCTCAAAAGAAAAAGAAACAACTTTCAGTTCATTATTTTAACTATTATTTTAAATTTCTCCCTATTGAATTTAGAATTGCTTGAATCTGTTTTAAGTCTGTTACATCTATACTGAGGTATGATCTTTCCTATTTTTATTTATTATTATTACTTTTATTTATTTTCAAGATAGGGTCTTGATACGTAGCTCTGGCTGTCCTGGAACTCACTGTTTAGACCAGGCTGACCTTGAGTTCACAAAGATCCACCTGCCTCAACCTCCTGAGTGCTGGGATTAAAAGCCAATGTCAACATAACTGGCACTTTCCTATGTTTAAAGCTTATTGATTTTTCCTTCTATTCCTCATTTAGTTTTCTTTTCTTTCCAATTTTACTTGTTTCTTATCTTCTGCTGGAAGCTAGTATTGATTTGACACCTTTTAAAATTTTACAGGTGCTGGAGCTGAGATGTGGCTGGCTCGGTAGAGTGATTGCCTAGCATTCACGAAGCTCTGGTATCAATTCCCGGCACCATTCAAAAACCAGCTGTGGTGGCACAAACCTATGCCAGCACTCAGGAAACAAAAGCAGCAGGATATAAAGTTATCCTTGGCTACATAGTAAGTTAAAAGGATAGCCTGGTCTACACGAAACCCTATCTCAAAAACAGACAAACAAATGAGCAATGGCAGCAAAAACGAGTTCTGTACTGTGCTTCTAGCAATGACTCACATATGTGAATGAGCCATGTTTTCTTTTATATTTTATTTATTTCTTTGTTTGCTTATTTTGAGAGAGTGTCTCACTTTATAGCCCTGGCTGGCTTTATACTTCAGTCCTCCTGCCTCATACGCCTCACGAGTGCTGTATGGTAAATGCCTCATTCATGTTTCCACTTTTACCCATTCAGAATACTTCCTAATTTCCCTTTCAAGTTTTTGTTTCACTCACTAGCTAGTTATAAATAAATACACTATTGCTAATTAACTTGCGAATATTTGGGAGTTTTCTAGAGAAATTTTTGCTAATGGTGTCTAATGTGATTCCAGTGTGATTAGCGACAATGCATTGTATGACTTGAATAGTTTTAGCAATAATTTAGATTGTTTTATGCTCAAAACATGGCCTGCTTTGGTAGTGAGTCTGTGTGCTCTTAGGAAGAACGTGGACGCTGCAGTTTTCGAGGGTTCTATAAATGTCAGTGAGGTCAAGTCAGCCGGTGGTGTCTCCTGCAGCTCTGAGACTTCCTGCCTGCTTGTTTAGTCCCTGACCGAGAGGTGGGTGCTGCAGTATCTGCATGCGGATGTGCCTGTTTTCCCTGGCAGCTCTGTCACTTAGAACCGGCGTTAGATGCAGGTATAGTTGTGCCATCGTGTCCATTTGGTGAGTTGGTCCCTTTACGTCACTCTAAACTGATGTGTGTTGTTCTTGCCACCTGCCTCTGCCCCCTGGCCCACAGCGAGTCTATTTTGTTGGATATTTAATATAACCACACGCTTCCTTTTCGTTTTAGCATTGCTTCCTTTTACTTTCAAACTGTTTCTTCTTTCTTTTCTATTTCTTTTCCTTAAATTGCGTGTGTGTGTGTGTGTGTGTGTGTGTGTGTGTGTGTGTGTGTGATGTGTACATGCGCTTGTGCCAAAGAACAACCTTTTAGGGGGGACCTGGTCTCTCTTTTCACCCTGTGGGTCCTGGGGATTGAACTCAGGTCATAAGGTTTAATGGCAAGTATCTTTAACCACTGAGTGGTCTTACTGGACCCGTTTCTTTACGTTTCAAACATGTTTCTTTTAGATAACATAGAGTTGAGTCTTGGATACAAACTGATAACCTCCACTATTTAATGAATTAATTACATTTACCGTGCTTTTGCAAATATGGTTAGTTTGATCACTATTGTGCTGTATTTCTGTTGTCCTGTTTGGTCTCTGTCCACCTTTTTTCTCTTTTTTTTTCCTTCTTTGGCTTACTAGTATAATTTGGGGGAGGGGTGTTTGTTTTCTGCTTTGGACGATCATCTCATCGTGTAGCACTGACTCGTCTTGGCTCAAGCTCACCAGCCTTGCTCTGCCTCAGCCTCCTGGGTGCCGGGATCGTTGGTGCACCGCCTTGCTTCTGCACTGCTAACTTTCTCCCTGATGTGAAAAGCATGTGACAAAAGCAGCTTCAGGGCTAAGGGGCCTGTTTGGCTCACAGTTCGAGGGTAAGGTCCGTCGTCACCCGTCATGGCGCGTTGCTGTACACAGAGGCAGGAGCGTCAAACAGCAGCTCCACGGCATTGCGACATTCACGGTCAGGAAGCAGAGGGCATCGAATGCCTTGCTCTCTATCGCTTTCTAGTCTGTCCAGGACTCCAGCCCATGGTTGGTACAGCTCACATTTAGGGTAGGTTTTCCTTCCTGGATTAACCTAATCTAGACAATCCTTCGTGGACAAGTCCAGATCTGCCCACCCCCCACCCTGCCCAGAAGTAAACAAAGTACATAGAATTGTCACTTGAGAACCCAAAGCTTAAGGCTTTTAGAAAGATAGGCATGCTATCCTCTGACCACACCTAGCAGGCAGGAGTAATTTGCAGCTCTGTTGTAGATCTTTTGGTTAGACACCCTTTTTTTTTGGAGTGTGTTTAGGGAACACCTGCTGTCCCCAGGCACCATTGTAGGCACCGAGGACATCACTTTTACCAGAGAAGATTCTGGGAGAAGAAACTCCACAAATATGGAAAGGAGCCAACATCTGTAAGTGTCATATTTTTGGCCCGCTGGGAAGGGAGAAGGGAGCTGAGGTTCCCAGCAGGCCCTACACAACTGTGCTCTTCCCACACTCTCAGTGAGCTTCCTGTGAAGGTGACGTGCCAGGCACAGTGTGCAGAGGCACCGGCCCAAGGAGGAGGAGGCGTCTATCCTGAAGTTCACTGTGGGAGAAGCGTGTGGGTGGATGAGGCAGGGTTCTCCAGGGGAACAGAACAGGCAGAATGGATATACATTTAAAAAGTGCACTTTCTTGGAATGGTTTTTAGGATAAGGACTGAGCAGCCCAAAGTTAGCCTTCTGTACCCTGGAGAGCCTGGGAGTGGCAAATCTGCCTAATCCACGAGCCAGAAGACACAGCAGTCCCAACCTGGTGCCGAAGGCCTGGAAGATCCCTGCTTGTTGCTGGGCTTCATGAGAAGCTGGACAATGACTTCAGTGGAGTACGGTGGCGGTGGCAGCAGACACAGCAGCAAGAAGCCAAGGTCTGCAGGTGACTCTACTCTTTCTTCAGACCTCATTCTATCCAAGGCTCACCCACTGTGAGGAAGGCTCACCCACTGTGAGGGAGGCTCACCCACTGTGAGGGAGGCTCACCCACTGTGAGGGAGGCTCACCCACTGTGAGGGAGGCTCACCCACTGTGAGGGAGGCTCACCCACTGTGAGGGAGGGTCTTTTCCACTCAGTTGTTTTTGGAAACACCTTCACAGGCTGGCACAGTGGTGTGCCTCCGAGTGTCATAGCCCATCACGCTGACGACGAAGTTTAACTAACACAGTGAGCGATGATGTTCCTAGCAACTGGAGCTATGATTGGGATTCTCCCTGGGAGTGACATGGAACTGTTAAATGGGAGAGGGGACATTTCATTTGAGTCCCGGGGAGGGCTAGGAGACTGCAGGTGGGGGAGGGGAGAGAAGACACTCAGGAATAGTCTACAGACAGGACAACCAGTGGCAGAGGTGATTCCGAAACCGAGGCTGTAGCGGCCTCTAGCGACAGTAAGGGTTGGGTAGGGTTCTACAAGGACGCAGGACTAGTTGTAAGAGGCTCATGCTGGAACCAGTTCTTATGATCAGTTAATAGATGACTGATCTGTTTGCCTTTATTCTTTTAAGTTAATAAAACTGTTGGACAGTGCTCGCTTTTAATCCCTGCAGTTGGGAGGCAGAGGCAGGAGGATCTCTGTGAGTTCAAGGCCAGGCTGGTCTACAGAGGGAGTTTTAGGACAGCCAGAGCTACATGAGACCAGACCCTTTCTCAAAAAAACGCATGTCTGTGTTTGTAAATAAACATATATGATATATGTTTGTTTTTGTAAGTTTTTACTGACGTGTGTGTGTGGAGGGGTTGTGCGTTTGCGTACAGTGTCATTAGAGGCCAGAAGAGGACATCAGATTCCTTGGAGCTGGAGTTACAGGCTGTTGCCAGCTGCCTGGCATGGCCCTCTGTAACAATGTTATGTGCTCTTAACCACTGCGCAGTCTCTCTGGACCTTCATCTTTGCTTCCTGATGCAGAAACCACCAAGACACCCACACAGTTTCTCTGGTCCATTTAAAGTATCAGAGAAGAATGAAGCACATCAGGGGACCGAGTACGAATTGGTACAACCTCTACAAAGACACAGTGCATATCACTGTGAGCCAGCAATTCCACTTCTAGAAATTTATCCATGGTGTGTGCACTTGTGTGGAATGACTTCTATGCATCTCACCATTGTTCATCATAGAAAACTACTGGAAAATAAAGTTCATCAAGGGAGGACCAGCTGAGCACATAACACTACCTTTTTAAAATGGAATATTATTCAACACAGAAAAAAATCCAAAACAAGACAAGGGCTATATAACTCTCTGTTGGGACTGGTTTTGAGGGACTGGGGTGGAGCTCAGTGGCTGAGGGCTTGCTTAGCCCAAAACCCTGGGCTTCAGTTCCAGAACCACATATATTTGGCATGGTGGCACACGCCTCCAAACCCAGCCTTCTGGAGGTAGAGGCAGTAGGATAGAAAATTCAGGTTTATCTGAGATTATGAAGGGGTTACATAGGAAGTCTGAAATCAGCCTGGGCTGGATATTCTGCCTTAATTTTTTTTCCAGACTAGATTATCAATGAAGACAGTAAGGGGTGGAGACTATTTTTTCCTAGGTGCATTGGTGTTCTGCCTGCATGTATCTCTGTGTGAGGGTATCAGATCCCCTGGAACTGGAGTTACAGACAATTGTGCGCTGCTGTGTGGGTGCTGGAAATTGAACCAGATCCTCTGGAAGTGCAGACAGTGCTCTTAACCTCTGATCCATCTCTCTATTCCCAAGACTATTTTTTTAATGAATATTATAGGAAGTTGGGAGGCAGAGACAGAGGAATTGACCCAAAGCCTGCATATGCAGTACAGTAGCAGAATTATCAAGAGATTCTTCCTTAAAACCAAGATGGAAGGAAAGAACCAATTCTTTAAAACTTGTCCTCTGACCTCTACCTGAACATCCTCCCAAATATATAAAAATAAATGCAATAGATTGAAAAATGAAGGAAAGAAGGATGGAAAGAAGGAAGGGAGGGAGGGAGGGAGGGAGGGAGAGAGGGAGGGAAAGAGGAAGGAAGGAAGGAAGGAAGGAAGGAAGGAAGGAAGGAAGGAAGGAAGGAAGGAAGGAGAGAGAAAGGAAGAATTAAGGATAGAAAGAACTTGGTCCTGTGTAGAGAGTTGAAATGTTTGATTTTAGAACCTGGGCTGCCTGATCTCCAAGACTCCTTGTGATATGTGACAAGAATCTCATTAACTCATCATCAGTCTAAGGTCTGAGGAGGTTCCTGAATTGGGTCCAGAATAATTTGGAGAAGAGTATTAAGCCTTTGTACTGCAGAAATTCTCCTGTCTGTCCCATATGATGTCCAGTGGGTACCCCAGCTGCAAAGCATCCGGCCATTCACGGATGCAGATGTGAGATGTGCAGAGATACGATTTGGCGAGAATCAAACTGTCTGGCTTCTCTTTCTCTTCCTCTTCCCCCTCCTCCCCCTCCTTTTCTTCCTGCTTCTCCTCCTCCTCTTCCTCCTTCAATGCAAACTCATCAGAGAGCAAGCTAAAAGCCTGGCGGTTTTATCTGTAGTCACAGAGCAAGAGGGCAATGCCACCGTTGCTGGAACCAAGACTTGAAATATGGAATTCACACAGTTCACTGTCCACACACAGGAGGACCCAGATGCTCCAGACTGGCTAGAGAGTTCTGAATCAAGCCACGTGGCCTCACAGCTTACCTTACTTAACTTCTCAATTGCTATGGCAAGACTCTATGACCAAGGTGACTTATAAAAGAAAGCATTTAATTTGGGGCTCACGGTTCCAGAAGGCCAGAGTCTATGACCAGCTGGGTAAGGAGCATGACAGCAGGTAGGCAGCCATGGCACTGGAACCGTAGCTGAGAGATTGCATCCTGAACCACAAGCGGGAGGCAGAGAGAGCTAACTCCTAGACGGCTTAGGCTTCTGAAACCTCAACGCCTACCCCGAGTCACACACCTCCTCCAGTAGGGCCACACCTCTTCACCCTTCCAAACAGTTCCAGCAACCAAGCATTCAAATATCCGAGCCTGTGGAGGCCGTTCCTAAATCAAGCCATCACACACCTCATCCACAGGGCTGAAATTACCCCGTCAGTGTCTCCAGACAGTGTTAGGGCTCACTTCCCATTGTTCAGGAAAAGCAAGTTCTTGCTGCCTGTACTCTTCTCAGTGTGGGGTAATAATAGAGAACAGAAGTTTACTGATTTACAATCTCCAGGAGGATGAAGTTTGGTTAAGTAAGTGCTGAGTAGTTGGACAGTTACAACTGAGCTGAGTATCAGTCCTGTGATACTCATTCCACCATTGTGATAAAAACAACATGATCAAGACAACTTGTATGAGAAAGAGTGTGATTGTCCTTTTGATTCCAGAAGGAGAGAATTTATGGTGGCGTAGCAAAGGTATGGCAGTAGGCATCTGGGGCAGTAGCTCAAAGCTCGCATTTATGATCTTTGTAGGCAGCAGAGAGAGTGCACCAGAGATGCAGAAGGCTTTTGGAACCTTCCCCCAGTGACACACCTCCTCCTGCAAGGTCCTCTTTCTCCTACTCCTTCCCAAACAGTCTCAAACTGGGCATGACGTGTTTAGCTACGTAGACTTGTGGGGGACATCTCAATCAATCTGCCATAGTATTACAGAGAGAAGATGTGTACTGGATTAGAACAGCTAAGAAAACTACCTGGGGGCTGAAGAGATGGCTCAGCAGTTGAGAGCACTGGCTGCTCTTCCAGAGGTCCCAGGTTCAATTCCCAGCACCCACATGGCAATTTATAAGTGCCTGAAATTCCAGTTCCAGGGGATCAGACACCTTCACACACACACACACACACACACACACACACACACACACACACGCATGCACGCACACAAGCAAGACACAAGTGCACGTGAAATAAAAATATAAATTATTTTTTAAAAAAAGGAGACTGCCTTGTTAGAGTGGGGAGCAGAGAAGGCCTGTGTCAGGAAAGACACATGAAGAGTGAGCAGGCGTGAGATAAGGTGGGAAAAAGAGCATTACAGGCAGAAGGAACCATCTGTGCAAAGGCCGTGGGGCGGAAGGGAGCATGGAACACCCGGGAACTAGGCTGCCAGTCAATGGACACTAGGCATGCACATGGCACATGCATGTATGTGTACTCATACACATTAAAACCAAAAGAAATAAAAAATTAAAAGCTACCATCTATGTCCACAAAAGTTGAGCTGATTTTTATCTTCTGCAACAGTAGATAGCTAAAATAATTGGCATCAGTATAATTTCTCATGGGGAGATACTTAGTGCTCCTTGCTAAGTGCATTGTGACGTGTGTCTTGTGCATAAGCATGCGCTTCTGTGGGTTGTAAACTTGGGCGTGGAAATGCTGGCTCACGGCTTTAGAGAGCGCATCGAGAGTGTCCGCAGCGCCAGCCACACCCTCACCGGCCACACATGCGCAGTCTCACTGCTGGGTCCGCACATGCGCAGCTTTAGAGAGCCCATCGAGAGTGTCCGCAGGGCCTCATCAGCAGCAAAGGCGCAGTCTCACTGCTCATGCTCTCCCTGGCACTGTTTACTACTACTACTACTACTACTACTACTACTACTACTACTTCTTCTTCTTCTTCTTCTTCTTCTTCTTCTTCTTCTTCTTCTTCTTCTTCTTCTTCTTCTTCTTCTTCTTCTTCTTCTTCTTCTTCTTCTTCTTCTTCTTTTATTTATTATGTATACAATACAGTGTATTGCCTCCTTGTATGACTGCAGGCCAGAGGAGGGCACCAGATCTCATTGTAGATGGTTGTGAGCCACCATGTGGTTGCTGGGAATTGAACTCAGGACCTCTGGAAGAACAGTCAGCGACCTTAACCTCTGAGCCCTTTCTCCAGCCCTGTTTACTCCATTTTTATCCTCGCCATTTTCATGGGTAACAGTGGCGCCGCACTGTGGTTTTAATTTAGATTTTTTTTCTCTTAATGCTTAGTGAAATTTAGTGCTTTTTCAAAAGCTTGAGGGTCATTTAGATGTCTCCATTTGTAAAGTACTGAATTCTGTCAAGTCTTTAACCTCATTGTAAAAGTCGGGTTGGGTTTTCCTGATGTTTTATTTTCTTTCTTGAGACAAAGTCTCACTATATAGTTCTGGCTGTCCTGAAACACACCATGTAGACCAGGCTGACCTCAGACTCAGAGAGATTGGGCTGGAGAGATGGCTCAGCCGTTAAGAGAGCACTGACTGCTCTTCCAGAGGATTTGGATTCAACTCCCAGCAACCACATGGTGGCCCACAGCTGTCTGTAACTCCAAGATCTGACACCCTCATGCAGAAATCAAGGTGAAACATTAATGTACATAAAATAAGAATAAATAAACAGCAATAATAAAATCCTCACAGAGCTCCACCTGCCTCTGCCTCCTGAGTTCTGGGATTAAAGGCATGTACCATTGCCACCCAACCCTTTCTGATTTATTTTTTATTATTTCTTTTCTTTATATATTTTCTCCTTTCTTCTTTCTTTTGTTTTTGGGTTTTTTTTTTTTTTTTGGTGTATGTGTGGTGGATGCACATATATGTGCTCACTTGTATGCATGCAGGTCCATGTGCACATGTGCAAGTGTGTGAAGGCCAAAAGTGATCTTGGATGACTTGTCTATTGTTCTTGACCCTATTTTTAAGTTTTATTTTATGTGTATGAATGTTTTGCCTGCGTGTATATGTACCATGTGTATTCCTATTCAGAAGAGGAAACTGGGTCCCCTGGAAC